TCGTTCCCTGGCCTTTCGGTCAATCACTTGCATGCAGGGTCTCTGCGTTGTGCCCCATTCGCTCGTGGCGACGGTCACGACGATGTCTAATTAGACGTTGTTGCTACAAGCAAACGGTGTCAATGCATTTGCTGATCATTTTGCTTTATTGCACCGGATAAATTTCTACTCTATCGCATGCGTTTTGCTTGTAGCCGAAAATCGATTACCTGAGTTAGCGTGTAGATGTCTCATAATCGTCACGTCATTCGTCATTTGACGTTCTGCCACTTGAACTTTATGGCCTCCATTCTCGTACTCACTCCGAATGCGTTTCACTGCAGCAAGGTTTAATTACGATTATTTCCAAAACACCGCGGATCTGTTTGTACGATGCCTTTGGATCATTCAGAGAATGCATCGCATGACTTGGTTATCGTACGAGAATTGATGAGTCAGCGATAGTATATTATTGCTTATTAATTTTCCCACCCTGCTTTTTTTGGCACTGCCGCGGCAGTGATATGCTAGATATCGGTTTCTTTGTCCACAGTCTGATTGGCCATTCAGAACTGAAATGTTATATGATCTAGCATCGGCGGGTGAACTTCGTCATCTGATTGTACAGTGAATGTCCCTAGCTGCTTCCACACAGACCAGTCGCTGTATTATATACAAATGCGCAAATGCTAAGTAACGAACTATTGTGAAATGGTTGTGTTGTTTAAAGAACGACAGCATTTTCGGCACTGCGGCAATATTCCTGAGGGAAACGGGATCAGCGGAACATCGTTGTCCCTGTTTCGCTCATTTGCCTGTTTAAGTGTGAAGAACCGTGTTCCGTATCAGAAAATGCCTGTCAAACATTACTACCATTTTCCGGAAGCGATTGTCATTGAGTGTCATCCCCTCGCCGCCGCTGAGAGGCAAATCGTCATTCACTTTGTTCACCTCTGTCTAAAATGTTAAGCTTATACGATGAAACTATGTCATTACATGTTTTTGTTATCATCGCCGTTCCTAAGCTGTAGCGGATTGAAACTAAAGCGGTTGTACGTCAACTTTCCAGGGTGTTTATCGCAGAGGTGCGGAAGTGATCGATTGCCAGGTGGGGGGGGGGAGCTCCAAGACGATTTTGACACAAGGTTTTATGACTTAGTAGCAAATTCAAGTCACAAATGATAGCTGTTCGTAAGATGAATCATGTTGTCAGTGCCTGCAGCTAGTACACCGGTTTTCGCAGATGATAGCGACATGTGTCAAGGCATTTTTCGGGGTTGTTTTCCTTGAGCCGCTTTCGATCCAGTGCCTCTGTAGCATGCCCCCCTCACCTCCATCCGCCGCTTCCTCAACTGGCAGAAACCGAGCTGCACGAAGTTGTTGCTCTATCGTCTCCTTCGGCTCTGACGGTCGGGTCGAACTCCCGAGTCGCAGATGTTCGTCACCAGCGGACCGTCACTCCCGCAAGATTAATGTGTCGAATATCGAAATCTGTTTTCTTCGCAACGACGGCGACGCTCTGTTGGCCGACCGAATCGACGTGCCTCTGATCGTCCCGTCTCCTTCCTCATTCGCCGTTGTCAATCACCTCTGATCGAACGTTCATTTCGTGTGTGCTGCGCCGATCGGTTGCGCTTTCGTGTCCGAGTCCGTTTCAGCTGTTTGGCGATCTTTCCAACAGTAAGTCGTTTTGGATGCGATTGACAACGGGCTTTGAGCTAAGGAGGCCCTGTCAAGGCAATGAGGCGCAGTTTGCCGGTCTAGAAGCTGATGTTGCAAAGAATTGTTTTTATATTTAGTTATATACCTCAACAGTACGTTGTTGACATTTAGTTTGTTTTTGCTACCGTCTGTTACTCATTCATGAACTTCGGTTTTATGGAACTTTTTTTTCTAAGTCATTTATTTTCAGAGTCTCATGTATCAATGCAGTCTTCATCTTCATCTTCCATCGCCGCTTCTCCTTTCGGGTCGCGGAGGCAGACGCGTCAGACAGTGCT